TTTTGTTGACCTTTGTCCATGGAAGGTCCCTGCAAAATTTCATTGAAATTGGTTCAGGGGTTTTGGAGAAGAAGTCGAAAATGTAAATTGTTTACGGACGCACGACGGACGACGGACGACGGACGACGACGGACAAAAGGCGATCGCAATAGGTCACTTGAGACTTTGCCTCAGGTGACCTAATAAAATCCATATATCGATTATCAGAGACCAGGAGACAAATAAAAGTCCTAACTGTAAATAGCGAAGATAAAAGCAACAAACAGAGGATTATCGCGTGTTATCACCTGACAGGCAATGAAGCTTCTCTGTTTGAACTAAGGCAGTCGAGGATATGCCTCGTAATGGTGTAATAATAACATCGTTGTTATGGCAACCCGTATTGTATTCATGTTTGTTAACGACAGATGCCAATGTCATGAAGGAAGAATGACCAGAGGTCATTCCGTAAGGTATATGTACCGTACGTGTGCACACGGTTGAACAAGTTGTTAATAGGGAAAGTGGTTGTCTTCGCATCACCTATGGTGGTATGAAGACGATGTCGGCAGATGATGGGGCACTGGGACCAACTTTAAAGTGTAATCATAATGTCTTAATCGAGACTCTAAAGTATGACTGTTCGTCCGGCGGTTAAATTCTTACAAGAGGTTAATCATAGGTGCTATAGGGTGACACAGCACAACGAAGGAATAGGTAGAAAGTGCATTTACTTTTTTTCTCCAATGTTCTTCTCGCAGGATACTAACAAGCTTTATCCCCAATTCTCGTAAGGAACACACAAATCTCGTACGAAAATGCAGTAGGATACTAGAGCAGAAGTTTTACCCTTACTGGCACAGGCAGTTTTAATAAAACGCTTTAAAAGTAGTTATTTCTAAGATTTGTTAAAGCATTAGTAACCATGACAAAAGTTGCAAAACACCTTTCTATTGAACCAGAACGAAAACAAAATGCAAATGTCACTTTGTGCATATCTGGCGATATCAAATTTGAATTCACAATTCCCCCAAACTTCATTGGCAATGCATGTCTTATAGGTATACACAACTATGTATTGCGCAAGGTTGACACGACGTCAGACAGTAAGTACCACAGCTCCAATTCCACATAGGTTTCATGTCGTACGGGATATGAAATATATTCAATCCTGTTGACAAAAAAAGCGACACTCGCTTTAGATTAGGAATATAAATACACTTAATAAAATACTATATTAAACCGAAAGCAGATTTGAAAACGGGGTTGATTTTTCGATATATGTTTTAATTTCTATATCAATATTTATCCAAACTTACCGAAAGAGGATGATAGCGGCAGATAGGATGATGAAGAGAATGGTGGATATAGCAGCAATGACGTAGGTGAGTTTGGTGGAATAATCTGAACAACAAAAAGAGACAAATGTTATAATAAATATCAGACTGGATACTTATGAAATACTGGACAATTGAAAGGATATGAGTAGATTATGTAAATGTTAACAACGGAGAAGAGAAATTAAAAAGCACGGATAATATGTAAACTTGACAACAGAAATAATAGTTTTGATTATGTTAGTAGAAATAACAGAAACAAAATCAATCTCATATTACGTTTACATTGACAACAGAAAAGGTACGTGGATATTTTGTAAATATAAAGTGCAGAAAAGATAACTGATTATTACGTCATACCGGTCAATAGAAAACGTCTCACCGGTCAATAGAAAACGTTATATCGGTCAATAGAAAAGATAACTGAATATTACGTCATACCGATGTATAGAAAAGATATCTGAATATTACATCATACCGGTCAATAGAAAGGATAACTGATTATTACATCATACCGGTCAATAGAAAAGATAACTGAATATTACATCATACCGGTCAGACGAAAAGATAACTGAATTTTAAATCATACCGGTCAATAGAAAGGATAACTGAATATTACGTCATACCGGTCAATAGAAAAGATAACTGAATATTACGTCATACCGGTCAATAGAAACGATAACTGAATATTACATCATACCGGTTAATAGAAAAGATAAATGAATATTACATCATACCGGTCAATAGAAATGATAACTGAATATTACATCATACCGGTCGATAGAAAGGATAACTGAATATAACGTCATACCGGTCAATAGAAAAGATAACTGAATAGTACGTCATACCGGTCAATAGAAAAGATAACTAAATATTACATCATAACGGTTAATAGAAAAGATACTGAATATTACATCATACCGATCAATAGAAAAGATAACTGAATATTACATCATACCGGTCAATAGAAACGATAACTGAATATTACATCATACCGGTCAATAGAAAAGATAACTGAATATAACGTCATACCGATCTATAGAAAAGATTACTGAATATTACAGCATAACGTTCAATAGAAAAGATAACTGAATATAAGGTCATACCGGTCAATAGAAAAGATAACTGAATATAACATCATACCGGTCAATAGAAAAGATAATTGAATATTACATCATACCGGTCAATAGAAAAGATAACTTAATATTATATAATACCGGTCAATAGAAAAGATAACTGAATATTAAGTCATACCGGTCAATAGAAAAGATAACTGAATATTACGTCATACCGGTCAATAGAAAAGATAACTGAATATTACATCATACCGGTCAATAGAAAAGATAACTGAATATTACATCATACCGGTCAATAGAAAAGATAACTGAATATTACATCATACCGGTCAATAGAAAAGATAACTGAATATTACATCATACCGGTCAATAGAAAAGATAACTGAATATTACGTCATACCGGTCAATAGAAAAGATAACTGAATATTACGTCATACCGGTCAATAGAAAAGATAACTGAATATTACATCATACCGGTCAATAGAAAAGATAACTGAATATTACATCATACCGGTCAATAGAAAAGATAACTGAATATTACGTCATACCGGTCAATAGAAAAGATAACTGAATATTACGTCATACCGGTCAATAGAAAAGATAACTGAATATTACGTCATACCGGTCAATAGAAAAGATAACTGAATATTACGTCATACCGGTCAATAGAAAAGATAACTGAATATTACGTCATACCGGTCAATAGAAAAGATAACTGAATATTACGTCATACCGGTCAATAGAAAAGATAACTGAATATTACGTCATACCGGTCAATAGAAAAGATAACTGAATATTACGTCATACCGGTCAATAGAAAAGATAACTGAATATTACGTCATACCGGTCAATAGAAAAGATAACTGAATATTACGTCATACCGGTCAATAGAAAAGATAACTGAATATTACGTCATACCGGTCAATAGAAAAGATAACTGAATATTACGTCATACCGGTCAATAGAAAAGATAACTGAATATTACGTCATACCGGTCAATAGAAAAGATAACTGAATATTACGTCATACCGGTCAATAGAAAAGATAACTGAATATTACGTCATACCGGTCAATAGAAAAGATAACTGAATATTACGTCATACCGGTCAATAGAAAAGATAACTGAATATTACGTCATACCGGTCAATAGAAAAGATAACTGAATATTACGTCATACCGGTCAATAGAAAAGATAACTGAATATTACGTCATACCGGTCAATAGAAAAGATAACTGAATATTACGTCATACCGGTCAATAGAAAAGATAACTGAATATTACGTCATACCGGTCAATAGAAAAGATAACTGAATATTACGTCATACCGGTCAATAGAAAAGATAACTGAATATTACGTCATACCGGTCAATAGAAAAGATAACTGAATATTACGTCATACCGGTCAATAGAAAAGATAACTGAATATTACGTCATACCGGTCAATAGAAAAGATAACTGAATATTACGTCATACCGGTCAATAGAAAAGATAACTGAATATTACGTCATACCGGTCAATAGAAAAGATAACTGAATATTACGTCATACCGGTCAATAGAAAAGATAACTGAATATTACGTCATACCGGTCAATAGAAAAGATAACTGAATATTACGTCATACCGGTCAATAGAAAAGATAACTGAATATTACGTCATACCGGTCAATAGAAAAGATAACTGAATATTACGTCATACCGGTCAATAGAAAAGATAACTGAATATTACGTCATACCGGTCAATAGAAAAGATAACTGAATATTACGTCATACCGGTCAATAGAAAAGATAACTGAATATTACGTCATACCGGTCAATAGAAAAGATAACTGAATATTACGTCATACCGGTCAATAGAAAAGATAACTGAATATTACGTCATACCGGTCAATAGAAAAGATAACTGAATATTACGTCATACCGGTCAATAGAAAAGATAACTGAATATTACGTCATACCGGTCAATAGAAAAGATAACTGAATATTACGTCATACCGGTCAATAGAAAAGATAACTGAATATTACGTCATACCGGTCAATAGAAAAGATAACTGAATATTACGTCATACCGGTCAATAGAAAAGATAACTGAATATTACGTCATACCGGTCAATAGAAAAGATAACTGAATATTACGTCATACCGGTCAATAGAAAAGATAACTGAATATTACGTCATACCGGTCAATAGAAAAGATAACTGAATATTACGTCATACCGGTCAATAGAAAAGATAACTGAATATTACGTCATACCGGTCAATAGAAAAGATAACTGAATATTACGTCATACCGGTCAATAGAAAAGATAACTGAATATTACGTCATACCGGTCAATAGAAAAGATAACTGAATATTACGTCATACCGGTCAATAGAAAAGATAACTGAATATTACGTCATACCGGTCAATAGAAAAGATAACTGAATATTACGTCATACCGGTCAATAGAAAAGATAACTGAATATTACGTCATACCGGTCAATAGAAAAGATAACTGAATATTACGTCATACCGGTCAATAGAAAAGATAACTGAATATTACGTCATACCGGTCAATAGAAAAGATAACTGAATATTACGTCATACCGGTCAATAGAAAAGATAACTGAATATTACGTCATACCGGTCAATAGAAAAGATAACTGAATATTACGTCATACCGGTCAATAGAAAAGATAACTGAATATTACGTCATACCGGTCAATAGAAAAGATAACTGAATATTACGTCATACCGGTCAATAGAAAAGATAACTGAATATTACGTCATACCGGTCAATAGAAAAGATAACTGAATATTACGTCATACCGGTCAATAGAAAAGATAACTGAATATTACGTCATACCGGTCAATAGAAAAGATAACTGAATATTACGTCATACCGGTCAATAGAAAAGATAACTGAATATTACGTCATACCGGTCAATAGAAAAGATAACTGAATATTACGTCATACCGGTCAATAGAAAAGATAACTGAATATTACGTCATACCGGTCAATAGAAAAGATAACTGAATATTACGTCATACCGGTCAATAGAAAAGATAACTGAATATTACGTCATACCGGTCAATAGAAAAGATAACTGAATATTACGTCATACCGGTCAATAGAAAAGATAACTGAATATTACGTCATACCGGTCAATAGAAAAGATAACTGAATATTACGTCATACCGGTCAATAGAAAAGATAACTGAATATTACGTCATACCGGTCAATAGAAAAGATAACTGAATATTACGTCATACCGGTCAATAGAAAAGATAACTGAATATTACGTCATACCGGTCAATAGAAAAGATAACTGAATATTACGTCATACCGGTCAATAGAAAAGATAACTGAATATTACGTCATACCGGTCAATAGAAAAGATAACTGAATATTACGTCATACCGGTCAATAGAAAAGATAACTGAATATTACGTCATACCGGTCAATAGAAAAGATAACTGAATATTACGTCATACCGGTCAATAGAAAAGATAACTGAATATTACGTCATACCGGTCAATAGAAAAGATAACTGAATATTACGTCATACCGGTCAATAGAAAAGATAACTGAATATTACGTCATACCGGTCAATAGAAAAGATAACTGAATATTACGTCATACCGGTCAATAGAAAAGATAACTGAATATTACGTCATACCGGTCAATAGAAAAGATAACTGAATATTACGTCATACCGGTCAATAGAAAAGATAACTGAATATTACGTCATACCGGTCAATAGAAAAGATAACTGAATATTACGTCATACCGGTCAATAGAAAAGATAACTGAATATTACGTCATACCGGTCAATAGAAAAGATAACTGAATATTACGTCATACCGGTCAATAGAAAAGATAACTGAATATTACGTCATACCGGTCAATAGAAAAGATAACTGAATATTACGTCATACCGGTCAATAGAAAAGATAACTGAATATTACGTCATACCGGTCAATAGAAAAGATAACTGAATATTACGTCATACCGGTCAATAGAAAAGATAACTGAATATTACGTCATACCGGTCAATAGAAAAGATAACTGAATATTACGTCATACCGGTCAATAGAAAAGATAACTGAATATTACGTCATACCGGTCAATAGAAAAGATAACTGAATATTACGTCATACCGGTCAATAGAAAAGATAACTGAATATTACGTCATACCGGTCAATAGAAAAGATAACTGAATATTACGTCATACCGGTCAATAGAAAAGATAACTGAATATTACGTCATACCGGTCAATAGAAAAGATAACTGAATATTACGTCATACCGGTCAATAGAAAAGATAACTGAATATTACGTCATACCGGTCAATAGAAAAGATAACTGAATATTACATCATACCGGTCAATATAAAGGATAACTAAATATTACATCATACCGGTCAATAGAAAAGATACTCAATCATTACTCATGATATAACATGTAAAAAGGAACAGAAAACATCGTGGCAATAACGTTACAAGATGCATGTTACACTGCATAATGGACATTTTCGCCCGATTAAACTTTCGCCTTTCGCCGGTAAAATCCAAATTCGACCTATATGAATTTCGCTCTTAACATTTAGTTATTACGTATATTATATTGTTTATTTATGTTCGTTGTTATGATAGGTTAGCCCTCGCTATGGAGAGCGAAACAGCGATATTTAGGCTGCGGCGAAAATGACATGGTTTACAGAATATTCTATTACTTAAGACACGTCAAACTTCCCGTTATAATTATATGTAAATCCGTGATGGTAAGTTAGCGTTTATTCCATGTTGATTTCTGCATGTGAATACGATATGTTTTGAGGAAAGCTACTGTTTTTTTCTATACGTATTGACTTCTAACATAGAACGGTTGATTATTTTCAAGGAAAGTATACGTTACTATACTACTATGCGTCGATAATAAAGGGAACAACACTAAGATGGACACCTTTACTCTTGCATAAACAGTCTGTTACAATGTAATTGATAATTTGGTCCTTTTTTAATTAAGAACGTACCATTTTTGAAACATTCTTGGTTGTCTCCCTGAAAACCACATTTGGGTGTGTTGAGAGGGGGTACGGTCCTGTCCCCCGCCCAATGAACTGTCTTGGTTGGAACAGGATTATACCACTGCCGGTCTCCAAAGAAATTGGCAATAACCTGAATAATATGAATATCTAATTTGTTTTGTGATTACATTGCAAAGTCATATAGAGTACACTTAGCATATGACAGACACCTCCTGACTACATATTAACTTAATATGTAAACCCAAATACAGACACCTCCTGACCCCATATTTACTTAATATATAAACCCAAATACAGACACCTCCTGACCACATATTAACTTAATATGTAAACCCAAA